ATTGTTGTGTCAGCATGTCTAATTGAGTCTCTACATCTAGATTGAACTCTAGACAACGTCAATTTCTGTTTCATTATGTTAATTTGATAGAGTCCCTATCAACATTCCCAATATTAAGATTGTTTAAAAAATTGTCACGTAAGTAGAAATAGACAATTTTTTTTTAAAAAAAAATTTTTTTAATGCAATTTGATAGAGACTATGTTAAGCTGACCTGACACAAAAAAGAAAAACACTGTCTAGAGCTTCGTTTCATTCCCATTTTGTTTCTAGGTACCGCGCAACATTTAACAATGATGGAGAAGATTAGTCACCGTTTGGCTGACCACTAAGTAATTATGTTAGTTTGGAGAATATTAGGTGACCGAATGTGGTTGAGTGATAAAATCTAAAACTAAGTTGAGATAAATTAGTTTTAGATTTATGGGGTTGGTTTTAAGTGTTGGATGCGGCCACAAGCTTAATTGCTACATACGGCCCCAGGGTTGGCCAGAAGACCTTTCTCTTCATTTTCTTGAAATAATTGCACCCATCTTGTTTTTCTTCCATACCCAACATAAAGTGTGATGTTTTGCTCGTTGCATTCGAATTCTGCCCATGCAACTTGAAAAAGTAATCTCATGGCTTTCTTGATCTTCTTTGGTCGCGATCTCGTCATTGGTCCTTCTTCCACAACCAATAGATCATTACTAACCTTCGTCCCATGGTTCTCATCAATCTTTTATCAATAGCAAAAAAAAAAAAAAATGAATAAAATAAAAAGAAGAGTGAATAATAGTCCAAAACAAAAAACATGATATTTAATTTACCCTCAAAGAAATTTTTCTTTCCTTAGATTGCTCGAATTATTGTTGTGTCAGCATGTCTAATTGAGTCTCTACATCTAGATTGAACTCTAGACAACGTCAATTTCTGTTTCATTATGTCAAATTGATAGAGTCCCTGTCAACATTCCCAATACTATGATTGTTTAAAAAATTGTCACGTAAGTAGAAATAGACAATGTTTTAAAAATAATAATTTAAAATGCAATTTGATGGAGACTATGTTAAGCTGACCTGACACAAAAGAAAAAAAAAAAAAACATTGTCTAGAGCTTCGTTTCATTCCCATTTTGTTTCTAGGTACCGCGTAACATTTAACAATGACGGAGAAGATTAGTCACCGTTTGGCTGACCACTAAGTAATTATGTTATTTTGGAGAACATTAGTTGACTGAATGTGATTTGAGTGATAAAATCTAAAACTAAGTTGAGATAAATTAAAATTTAGTCAACCAATTAAAATTTTGCTAAAGATTTTTTTATTTCTTGTCTGATTTTGCCTTTTGGTGTACGCAAATGAAGCCACACGCCAGTTTCGCAGCCTTTGTTTTTGCTAACTTGAGGAAATAAAGCCTCAAATGGGCTGGACAACACAGCAATGGCATAGAAAGCAAACAATTGTTAAAATTGAGTGTGACCCAAATTCTATTGTGAATTAAATTGGGAGTTCTATTAAGAGTTAGTAGTATGATTTGAAGAAGTTTTGAAGGAGTCCAAGACGGATAAGAAGAAAGTTTCATGATTTTGGCAGTTTTCTCTCTCCTATTCCAACTCAAATACTCCTCACTGTTATGCACCAATTCTGTTGGAGGGTAGAGGTGGCGAATGAGCATCATTGTTAAGGAAATGTTGGTGTAGAAGGCTGTCCTAGTTCTGGCTGTGGAGGTGGTGACATAGTGTAGAGAATGCTGAGAGAAAGTGGATAGAAATAAATAACTTTGTTTCACCGTA